TTTAAAAATAGAAATGTAATAAACACAAAATAATAAATCAGTTCTTAAAAGAAAAATATGTATCTAATGACGCCCCCCCTGGAATAAATTCTGGATCCGCCCCTGTAGACCACTCAAGTTTTTATTTATTTCAACCTCAATATTTTACTTCATTAATGTTTCAATAAGTAATTATAATTTATATACTTTCGCGAACTATTGACACAGATGTTTGTATATTTAGACCTTGAGTACTTGTAATCAATTCATTACATACAGGACAAGCTTCAATTTTTTTCACACACCTTTCACATGACCAGCCATGTCCACATGGTGAAAAAAAGTATATTCCCGAATCACCACTACTGTATTTGTTACATCCAAAACATTTTCTTTGATCTACAGAAAAAAAAAAAGAAACAAATTTTAAATACTTGTATTGGTAATAATTTCTAGAAATTTTAAATTTTAGTTTTCAGTTCAAAAGCAATATAAGTTTTCTTTTAACGCTTTAAAAAATTTAAAAGCTAGTAGAAATCCAAATAGTTGTTTTTTAAACATGTACAGTTATTTACAAAATATGTACTTATAGTATAATTTGAGTTTTTTGAAAATTATATTTTAAAATATAGCGATTAATTCAATTATCTTGAAATTAAATAACGATTTTTTACAGATAAATATTTCATAACCTATAAAAATAAATTTTAACTTTCATACAAAATAATGTTATGTAATGAAACGATATAAAAAAAACCTTCTTACATATATCTCCAGTTATATATTTGAAAAGAGTAGAATTATGTGCTAAAAACAATCGATACTCTATAAAATTATAACTCATATTACAGTAACGTTCTAAGTCGCTTACAGCCATATTATTCATTGATATATTATTAGGTTCTTTTAAAAAATGCACTTTATCTTCCATTAACTTCATGCAGTTTAATAAAGCATTTTTGTAATTTATGTTGAATTTATTAAATTTGAATTCCTTAGATTTGTGATTTTTGTAAACATCTAAAATACATTCATGCGGTTCAGGAGAAATCCATTCTCTATTAATTATCGGTATAAGTTCAGCAAGTTTTCCACTAAAATTTTTTAAGTAAAATGATATTTCAGCAAGTTGTTCATTCATTTCTATTGCAAACTCGCAGAACCGATACATGAATGTAAAGACCATACTTTCAATGGCGTTCAAAAAAATTGTATAAGCCAATTTATAATTTTTTTTGTTCACACATCTACTAACCACAAGTGTTAATGTTTTATTTATTATTTCTAAACCTTCTTCATAAGGAATATCTTCATCATCTACTACGTGACTGTAAGGTAGTGGACAAAACAATACCTCATTTCTTGATTGTATATAATAAGGATGTTGTTGAAGAATGACTTGATGAATATTTGGGTATTCCATTTCCAGAGTCTGTATGTCCTCACGTGTAATGTTATTTAGATCAACACAAATTGATTGGTTGATTGTTTGAATAAAAAAAAATACTAATTTCAATTTATTGAGAAACATATTATTCTAGTAGAATATTTAACACAATTTTTAAATTTCAAAATATTTTATCAATTATAATTAAACAGTTTTGAAATAAACGTATATACTAACTAAAAAAATTGAATTAACAGAATAACTTTAACAAGAGTATTTATAAGCTCTTACAAGTGTATTTTAAATACATGATCAAAAATAAACTTTTATTGTGTACTTTAATAGTATATGAACAATTGTAATTTAAAATATAATTTATTAATTATTTATACACGCAAAAATACGAATTTTCTTTAATGAAATGATTGATTGAAAAAAGCAAATGATCATTAAATTAAAAATAAAATACTATATTAGTAGAACTATAAAGTATGATTGCCATACCCCCCTAACCCACATTTTGTGGGTTTACCCTGCCATAGGTAGACGGGCGGTGTAAACGGCAGTTGGTATATGGTGAAAGTCATAGTCCCCTCACCCACCCACATGATGTGGGTTTACCCTGTCCTAGGTGGTCGGGCGGTGTAAACAACCAGGAGGGGGATATGGTGAAAGGTATAGTCCCCTCACCCACCTACATGATGTAGGTTTGCCCTGTCCTAGGTGGACGGCCGGGGGGATATGATGAACGGCATAGGGCCCCCTATGAAAGGGTAAGAGTGGAGGGCTCTCTTATGACAGTAGATATCACAAGTATGGGGAGTACATAAGAAGAGGGGCTATGAAAAAAATGAATACTTTTTAGAAATTACTTAATAAATTGTAATTAATAAGTAATTATAAGTTAAAAATGTTTAAGTGGTGAAGGAATGGGTTAGTTTACGGGGATATGTGATCTGTGATTTGTTGACCCCTCTATGAAAATATGTGATTTTTCCGCATAAATGAGCATGAAATCGTTGATAAAGTCACAGTGTCATCAAGAACCATCAGCTCTAAAAAGAAGACTCTACTCTATGAACAATATGGCTGCCGAACCTGTAAGAAAACAACGTTATGTTTATGTTGCACCGACACCGCCAGCTGAAATGATCGATTCAAGCAGTTATACAATTTCGTTCGGCGATAGAAAATTTTTACAACTAGGACTGAATCACGTTTACTATTAAGCCGTCAAATAGACCGCATTATGCAATACGCCGATGGTAAATGGCCAGGACTTAGAACTCTACAATCACCAAATGATGAAATGGTTAATTTTATAAGAAGTTTGAACGAAATAGAAATAGGTGACAGTAATTACATAAGCGAGCTAAAAAATTTAGCATACAATGTAATAGTTGATCGATGGGTCAAGTCATGGTCCGAGGGCACGCTTCAAATTAATGTGAGTTTAATGAACATAGATTGTCAATATCTTTATTGTTATTAAATTTATAATTTGTTTTAGGAAAAAGAAGAAATGTATGACGAAAATGACGGTCCGGCATTTTTCGATACAACAGTGTTTACCCAAGAAAATAGTTATAGTCCATGGGCTTCACAATGGCCGAAACCCAATCACGTCAGAAAATTAACTTATATTAATAATTTATAAACAATAACTTTATATATTGTACTAGTTTCAAATAATAAACTTATAATCTAAAATGAAAAACAAATTGTTGTTATTTGTATATAATATATTTATTTCATAATAATAATAATAATTACAAGGTTAATAATAAATGTTTACATAAACGTGTAAAAAATGTTAAAATATACGGACAGTTCCGTCAAAAGGTGTATATGTAAATACATTGTCTGAAATTACTAGAGCATATGCAGTTGTATTACCAGGGAACGCGGCTGATGCTTCAATTTCAATACGTAGGTCAAAAGACGAGACTGTAATTGTATCGTTCTGCTTTGACATGTCGATTACGGCAATAGGTATTAAATTAAGAAATTGTTTTTTATTTACTAAAGGCGAACACCAAGGTCTATCATAATAACTCTTTTGAAAATTAACATAGTAGGAAAATAAAATACTAAATAGCTTACAGTCAAAATTACATCTTAAATCGATGTACGGGTAAACTTCTGAATTTAAATGGACTTTAAGATTTGTTAAATTACAGTGATCGAATTCAGACATTGATTTACTTTCACTATTTTTACGGTCTGTTTGAAACCCTACTATAACATAACGAGGTTTTTGAAAATTATTACATGTTTTAACGGTCCACGAAAACGATTTGTTTTGTGGTACAAACGGATATTCACACAGTTCCCAATTTCTATGGGCGCAATGTATAGGCTTTTTACTATCTAAAACTCTAAGTAATTTTAATTGTTCCTTTTCGGTCACTTTGACGATTGGCATATTCCATACAACTTTTGTTAGTTTAATTGATACTGTAGACAGTTTTTCTTTTACTGTGGTACTCGTATCTAATAGCTTGACAACCTCATTATCATCAGAAGTTCCCGTGCTGCATTTAAGTTTTTCAGAGGACTCGTTCACATTGAATAATTTGATTACGTTTATGTCTGATGAACTCCTCGTACATATTAATGATTGGGTACAGTTTAAGAGGATTTTTTTATAATCTTCGGCAAACCCTAGTATATGCGATAGCGGTATAATCCCAGAAAAATATGTACAGTCGAAAAAAAANGTTTATGTCTGATGAACTCCTCGTACATATTAATGATTGGGTACAGTTTAAGAGTATTTTTTTATAATCTTCGGCAAACCCTAGTATATGCGATAGCGGTATAATCCCAGAAAAATATGTACAGTCGAAAAAGTCTTTATTGTCTTCAGTAGTAATGTCCCATGCCGCAGTGTGTAGTTCGTTAATATCAGCGGGGCTGTATGAGCAATAGCCTTTCAAAGTAGATGTAATGCCCGGGTTGCGTACTTTTTGTATTTGAGTACCGTTTATTTCATAACGTATTTCAGAAAATAAATATGCGAGTCCGTTGTTAATAAATCTAGGACTGGACTTCATACCATCAGGTTTTTTCACTTCACCTTCCAAGTACAAATAACTGGCACTTGGTAACTGTGTGTGNCTTCACCTTCCAAGTACAAATAACTGGCACTTGGTAAAGTGTAACTGTCCATGTTGCGAATTTCAAATCGTATTTCATCATTTTTACCTAGCGCAGTGGAGCTATACGGCAAAAATGATTGTATCTGTTGACTTATTATTTTGCACTGATCGACATAACTTTCCGTCACATCTAAACATAAATCGTCCATAATTTCAAAGAACGTTTAACGATTTTAAAAACGATAAATTACGTTTGCTAATAGACTTATTCGTTTTTTCTTTTA